AGGGAAGGGGAGGGGGGGAAGAACATATCGATTCGCAGTGCCGTTGTTCTCTGCCGCGTTTCTTTGCGCGAGGAAAAGCCACGGTTTTAATAATTCCCTCGAATCGCATTAATTTTACGACTTACCGCTTCGGCAGATTTAGAGCCGGATCCGCGAAAAGTGTAAAGTCGCTTTAAGCGTTAAGGCCGACTTTAAGGTATAATTTATATCGCATAAGCTATACGCGATAGAATTAAATGTAACGCGACGTTAAATCTTTCTGGACCCTCGCGCGATCTCTTCTCTCGGCGAGGGAAATGAGAATAAATGAATACCGCCGCGAGTGGTTGAATTTTAATCCGACGACAACGCGCTCGTCATAACAATGACGACGTAAGGCTTATTTCCATCCTCCTCAGTGGTGCGCGCATTAGTATTCAAACTGAGAGGAGTAACATACCGTATTATTATTCTTTACATCGTGATGCATCGAGAAGATGCATTGACGAAATAACGATCCGCCCCGCGGCAAGAGGGCTAACATTTCCTGACTTTGATCTACATCGCTCAGCTTGCTTTAGATATGCATCAAAGTCATATCCTCTCATCTCATGTATGAGTACTTCCTCCGATACAAAGATAAATAATAAATAAATCAAAATTCTTTCCACACAAATTACAATTATTAAAAAAAATAAAAAAAATGAACAGTTCAGACTAATCGGATTTCACAGTCGAGTTGCGACACAGAAATAACGGACAATCAATAAAATTTTGTTTATCACCCTGGAAAAAATTATGCCAAAAATAAATGCACAATTTTGAAAATATTGACACTGATTGTCTATTGTGTTTACATCGCGTAAATGCTCTCTAATTATTTATCAATTTAATGCATATAATTTTAGAAAAAATTCACTAATTGTAAGTGTAAAAAATCGAAATAGACGCAGGAAAGTTTGCAGATTAGCATTAGAAAAGGGAGAATGGTAGCGCGTGAATTTGAATGGAAAATGGAGCATTGATTTTTTCTCGAAAAGTTACACGAAAAATTCAACCGCAGTTCTAATTATAGAACATTATTATCCGCTTGCGTATCAAAAATCAAACGTTGCTTGCCGTGACTCGATACTCTCGCTCTCCTTGCTTAAGCCGACCACCTCGCAGCCTCGAGGCAACGTTAAGAGACACGGTCTATACGAAACAGCAAGAAGGAGAGGAGCGACGAGAGGGAGAAGGTAAGGTAGGGAAGGGTAGGTAGGTTACGACAGGAGCTGCAGCTGCATACTGCCAAGCAGAAATCCTTGAACAAGCTATTCAACTCCTTCTCCAGTGCTATGTTATATCTTTACGACGTCTCATGGCCAACCGGGAAATTCCAGTTTCCTCGATAATTTCGGTTGGTCACGCCTCAACGAAATGCGCACGGTAAGCCGCATATTCTCATAAAGAATTTCCTTTCATCGTTGCGTTTTTCTCAAACATGAGAACCCAAACTCAATCCTAGAACGCTAATCCTTTTCTCCCATGATTGATGATATCTCTGAGACGTTTGTCGGAAAAAAGAAATTAAAAATGTAATGAGTTTATGAACTGATTTAAATGTTACAGACAAACAATAATTCTTTAAACAATTAGAAAATTGGATTGCTAGCAGAAAGCAAAAACATCATTAAAAATTTGAAATGTTTCTTTCCAGAAATATTGATCACCCGATTGATACTGCAAAAAAATTTCTTGTTAAATAAGAACCATTTATAAATGTATCTACAAAATAGAAATTGATCAATCACAAAATAAAAATTCAAACTTCAAAATCTATCCGTATAAATAAAATATTTTTAATGTCTTACTTTGCTACTTTGTTAATAACACGTTCAGATACGCGTGTAAAAAGATACAAAGATGGTTTTCTACATCTACATATTTCTCTAAGGTGTACTAACATTCAGATGACCGGTTGAAACGCGGAGATTAATGCAGCACATCCGTCTTTCGCTCCGTCTCAAACCGAACTAATTAGTGGAAGATGTCACAGGAGGGGCATTTCGAGTTTGCGTATACCACAGGAAGGGGAAAGACCAATAGGAACATACATGTCCAGCAACATACATAAATAAGAATGCACCAAATAACGTTCTACTCGTTATTACGTCAATAAGTATTTACAAACAACATCCACACATTATTTAGACAATAAAAAGTATCTAAGGAATATCGCATCGAGAGTTTTAAAAGCGTGTAGTAATCCTTCAAATTCGTCCTAATTTTTCACATATTCTATTTTCAAATGTTCTTTCGATTTTTGCGATACCTCAATTTTGTTACGTTATATACGATTATCTCTTTACAATTTTTTTCAACGAATGATTTTGTTGGCTGTAACGAATTAGATAGTAATTCGAAGCGATAGCTCGATCACGAAATTGGGTAACGAGGATACATTTAGCAGGATAGAGAAATCGAATTATGTTCCGAGAGGCAAATTATCCTCGAATGCGTCGTTATTCGAATGTATCAAATCCTAGAATCTAATTCTACTTAGCCGATTAAATTCCTAAAAATATCAGATAATATCGACAAAATCGATAAAACGAAATAAAAGTTTCAAGAATTATGAGAAATATCATTGTATTAAATTATTCATTTTAACATTAGGTCAAATATATACATATGTATATATCCTTCTTATAAAAAATAATACTTTAAATACAAAATAATTGCTTCATACTAAAGAATTGTATAAATATAATACGATCATATTGCTTCATGTTTTTACAACCAACAGATGCTTTTGTTCCCATTTTCTGTTTCTTAAAATCAACTGTATTGAAAATTTTATTAAAAATTTTCATATTATCTATCATACAGGAAATATCACACACACGCGAAATGAAAGAATGTAAGTTTCAAATCGTATTAAAAATTTAAATTCAAATATTGATATTCTGACATAAACGTTCAAAGTTGATTCCTTCAAAAATTACTGTCAGAAAAATCTGCATACCAATAATAACTTTTCTATCTAGTTACATCTCACGTAGCTCAGATGCTTCTGTGTTGCAAATATCTCTGAAATCCGTTCATTAACTCGATCCTCTCTTACAAGCCTTCTCAAAGTATCAAGATGAATTGAGCGCCGAATATCCCTCAAGTCGCCTTTCTCACGAAGAGCTGACTAATCCGCAAGTTCGGCCATACAATTAATATAAGTTAATCGCCGCTCGCCACGTAATTCTTAATTAATTTCCGTACCCTAAATGATTTCTTGCCGTGGCGCGCCCGGTAACGGCGGGCAAAGGAACCAATTAAGCAGCCGAACGGTATTGCGGGTGCGGATGTGATTCGGGAACAGCCGCGTGATGTATTCCGGTTTTTGTTCTAATTAGAATACGTCTCTGCGAATCCCGGGCCGCGCCTTGCCGCACCGCGCACGATTCCACGATCGTGGTGCGCGGGCGGAAGCAGAAACAGCACGGCGAGTTACAACCGACTGAAAACTTTCGACCGCAAAATCGCACTGCATATTCATCGGATAATACGATTTCACCAGTTTCAAGCCTGCGGCGGCCGGCTGGCCGATTTTACGCTTTAACCCGCGGATAAATTCGACTTCGGGACATCGTGCCGGCGCGGCGGCACAATGTGGCACCGCGGGAACTTCTCGCGATTCCAAATTTTTTTTTTTTGTTCCCTTTGTTCGTCGGCTGATTCGAATATTCCGGCTGGTTCCTGTCAGCGTAACTTTCAGACGGGTGACCGGGGCGAAGGAGAGGGGAAAGCGTACTTATCCGGGAGTAAACGGGAAGATTCGTCCGACAGGACGGATTCTCCTTTATATTCGTTTTTCTACAGAATTAAGTAATCCGCTTTTTGCAACCGATCAAAGTTTCTTTTCAAGCCGGAAAGTTTTAATTAAAACGCGTGGAGCGATATCGGACGAGTCTGACGAATTAAAGTATCTGCCACATGTATACCTCAAACCTCGCGCGCCTCGGTCTTGCCTCGAAATTCCATCTACTTCAGAGTTCTCTCAAAGAAGCATATCTGGAGCGCGCGCGTGCACACACGTTCAGCTTATTTCCTTCGCGAATTGATACCTCGGAGCGATGTGAAAAATGCGATGAGAGTAAGTCCGCATCAAAGTTCCTCAAGATGTCGATAACAATGGACGGTAATTAAATTGTTTCTTTCTACCCTGAACGTAACTGAATAACACTAGTTCCAGATCAAAAAAAGGATATTCAATTTTATATAAAGAATATTCCAGTGGAAATATACGTTCGGTGACGACTTTCTCTAAAAAAAAAAAGTCATTGTTACGAAATACTATGTTGCGTACTGTACGTATTTATTGTGAGCGAAAAACTTGGACGGATAAGAGTTCATTAACTGAAATTATTCAGGAAATAATACAGGTCTTATAATACTTATAGCATTGTGTGAAAAAAGACACAGCATTCAATGAAGTACGATTTCAATTATAACTTAAAGCTCACTCATTCCCGGACACGTGTTTACATGAACTTTCCCCTTTGTTTCGACGTAACGAACTCAATTCTGAAGTTTGCTCAAGTATTTCAGTAACACCATGTATATATCTCGCGCAGAAAACGTTTACAGTCAGGTAATTCGAAAGTTTTTAACGAAGCAACTTAAATATCCTCTTTAGCCGAAATACCAAGAAACGAGATAAAGGGGAATTCAAGGGTATTGTGCCAAGGAAATGTGGCAAGGTGCTGTGAAACATTTGTACTTTCGCAGTAAGTAGAATATACGTGTTTCC